ATTTGCAATATGAGACTATATTGATAAACGATAGTGTTATACTTGAAAATCTGCCTGCTGTTATCTTTCTCCCACGCGGCCACTCCTCTCCCTCTCAGCCCTGCCCGTCACCCCCGCTTCCTGTTTCAGGTGGTGCAGCACCACCGGCACGTATATCGCAGATCAGAGCAGGAAAAAAAATAATGGCTCTGTTATTTGAAGATGGTTCTTCAGATTTAATTTGTCAGATGTGCAGCAGAAAAATGTTTTCTGTAGACAATGCCGAAAACAAGACCCAACTAAAGGTTTGAGTACTACAAACCTTTTTCACCATTTAAAACAGCGCCATAAAGTGGAATATGAAGAGTTTGTTAAACTTTGTGTTGCAGCTTTGGCAGTAAAGTTTTCCCAGCTTCCTTCCCTGAAACAAACTACGGTACAAAACTCTTTCACCTGTGCTGTGCATTATGAGAGGAACAAAGGTAGCACCACATTAATAATGCTGCAGATTTTATCCCTAAAGACAGGGCCCTTAGCAGCTAACAAGATGGCTAAAGTTAGCCGTAAAGGACCATGTCTTTAGCGATATGATAAGCCACTACTTTATTAATGTGGCGTTACCTTTCACTGTAAGATTTGAAAATCTGTGTACAGTAGTTCTTTTTCTGCCCATCTGCGCAGTCAAATTCAAGCCTCCTCCTCCCTCGCTGAATACAAACAAACAGCCCCTCACTGCTGCTTCACACACACACACTTACTAATGTAGTGAAGGTGGCGCAGCAGGGGAGGATTATTATTTAATAAATGTGAATAGTTAATTTTTAAGACGTTGATTTTGTAAAGGAAAAGGAGGGTAAAGATAATGAATGGATGGATGGATTTTGTACAGTTACAGATGTTTTTCAATAAATGTGCCTGTGTGACAATTGGGACAAAGCTTTGACTCAGAAATATATACTTGTTATTACTTTATGGAAAGAAAAAAATATTGATATATCATATCATGATTGATCTTAAAATATCAATATTAATTTTGGTCCATATCGCCCAGCCCTATTGGGGACTTTAAGGTTGTGGCAAGGCAGCATGGCCAGACAGCATCGTATGGTTATGTATACAATTACAATACATTTGAGGCGGCTGTGGCTGAGTGGTTAGAGCAGTCGTCCTCCAATGCAAGAGTTGGGGGTTCGAACCCCACAGCAGTCACATGCCGAAGTGTCCCTGGGCAAGACACTGAACCCCTTGTTGCCTCCGATGTGTGTCCCATCGGTGTATGAATGTGATAAATCACTGATTAGTCTCTTTAGAATGATTTGTTCAATTAGCTTTGTAGATATCTAGTAGAGTGTTGTATGAATGGGTAAATGAGGACACAGATTGTAGTGTAAAGCGCTTTGAGTGTCTCAATAAGATAGAAAGGCGCTATATAAGTACAGCCCATTTACCATTCACAATGGCTGTTGTTGTGAAGAAGAGAAGCAGCATAAAATCAGAGAAGACAACCAAATGGTGGAAGCTGAAGAAAGAATAATGCTGTAAAGAGTTTAGAGAGGAGCTGTTAAAGGCTCTGGGTGGTAAGAAAGAGCTTCCAGATTACTCGACTACTACAGCAACAGTAATTAGAGAGACGGGTAGGAAGGTACTTGGTGTGTCATCTGGACAGAGAATGGATGACAAGGAAACCTGCTGGTGGAATAGTGAAGCGCAAGAAGGTATTCAAAAAAAGAGGTGAGAAAACTGAAGAGAGGAATATAAGGAGATGCAATGCAGAGCAAAGAGGGAACATTTCTACTAGAAACTTTGAAAGAGCTCAAAATGATCTGTATTACCAGTAGCTCAGTCAGGGAGTGCAGTAACGTCTCCACCGTCATTGAAACCTGTCGCGGGTCCATTTTGGGTGCTCTGGTTTGTTTACGTTCACCCCGGAAGTAGAACTTCTTCTTCGGTGGTTTTTTTTTAAGGAGAGTTTACCACTCTGCGCATGTCAGTACTGCTGTTCAGAACAAAGCCCGCTACATGTAAACGCTCGTCATGAACAGATTGTGTCCATGTAAACGATACATTTGAATTATTCAAACAGAACACATTTCAATCCGGTCAAAGAATTCTGTGCATGTAAACATAGCTAGTGTGAATCCCTTCACACTGGCTGAAAAAGGAAAAATTACAAAAGAAAAGTGGGAAGAGGGCCACAGGGCAGTCACAAGCTTCGTTGTTAAAAGAGATTCTCTTTTACATAAATGGCTTAGCTTCCTTCACCTCATTTTCACATCTATCAGGAATTTCAGCCAGTGATCAACAATGTCTCCTGTGTGTCTGAGACTAACAAAAGCCCTATTCACATGGGATTAGTTTTGCCTAAGGACCATATGTAATAAATAAATTACTCCACAACGTCTGCTTTTTATGTGCATTTGGTTATCGCACAGGATAACCAAAGCCTGAGATTTAGCTGAAATTTACGGACAGCTTTCGGTTATGATGTTAATGCGCTGCGTTATTACGATCGGGCCGGTCCATAATAATGTGTTTAATGTGCGGTTCGGGATGGTCTCAAGACTTTGATGTGGTTTTACGAATCAGCACTAAAGAAAACTAAAGAATGCACAATATAAAATAGTGTTAATCTACTTGTTGAGGAGGAGGCAGGTCTGACCGGCCGGTTTAAGAGGTAAAAAAAAACACGTTAAGCTCAGATGGACAGCTGTCACCGGCCGTGCGCGAGCAGCTGTGAGTCCACTGACACGCCGGTCGAAATGGATTTGTGACAACTGTCCCCCCGCCTCTCGCACAGTACAGTGATGGCTGAACATGGGCACCAACGACTCCCGCTACCCGAAAAGGAAGAAGCGGGTAAATAAAATGGATGGATGGATCACGCACGTGTCTCTGCACCTCCTGTCAACTGCGGTGAAGGAAGTAGCAGCTCATAAAAGCCAAAGCGAAAAAGAAAAATATGGTATTTAACGACTGGCCAGTTTAAGAGGTGTGTGCGTGAACGTCCGCACGTCCGCTGACCCGCAGGTTGAAATGGACTGAAGACCTGTCCAGTGTGTCCCCCACCTCTTGCACAGTGATGGCTGGACATGGGCATCACCAGTGACTCCCACTACCCGGAAAAAAGAAGCGGGTAAATATAATGGACGGATGGGTTGATCACCCACGCGTCTCTGCACCTCCCGTCATCTGCAGCAAAGGAAGTAGCAGCATAAAGCTGAAGTGAAAAAGAAAAATACATAAAAAATAAATTAATAAATAAAAATAAGCCGAAGCGAGCAGTGCGTTTATTTAAAATAGCCTTGTTCTATATTTTTCCAAATGATTTTGCTTAAACAAAAACGCCTCATTATGTATCGGATCCTGCGCATTTCAGTCCAAATCACAGGGATGCCTATTCGCATTGGATTAGTATTATCACAGGACCTCGGAGTTCAGGAAAATATAGTAGGTAATGTGTAGGGGAATTGTCACTTTACAAATGACTGACATGGCTGATTTGCATGGGAATAACAACACAGACAAGCTCCGTAATTATTTCAAATAGCATGTGGTCCCTAGGTAAAACTAATCCCATGCGAATAGGGCTAAAGACTACAAACGAACACCTAGTGAAAAGGAAAACTAGTTTAAAGCTCAGCTTGACAACTTGAACCCCACACTCTCCTTTCTTTGAATTGAGAAGCAAAATGTTTTCTACAAATAAAGTCCAGTAGTTTTTAGTCTAGCTAATACAACGTGTATATTTTTCTCAGACTGGAGAGACTTTCTGATGATGATTATAAAAAAGCAGAACAGTTTGCCAGAGTTATGAAGATACTCTATTCTTCAACCATCTGCATTTCTATTGAAAAGAGTCCAACTTTGGGCCAGATTCTGCCCATCTTGGAGAAACTTCAGCACCACTTCAGTTACTGGTTAGGACTCCCCCTTTACACAGACAATCAAGGACAATATTTGGGGTGACCTCTCAAAAAGATACCAAGTATGTAGCATAATCCTGTAGATTTCTGTTGTTTTCATTAGAAATACTGACTATTATACTATGTTTTTATCTTGCAGGATGAGAGCATCAGGAAGTTCTTGGCGGAGGGCGCAGCCTTAGACCCAAGATTGGCAGATGAAGTGTGGACCAGACTAGAAGAGGAGCTAATAAGTAGGACCTCACAACAGGTGTGTTTATTGTTGATAATACTTTATTCCTCTTCCACTGTAGATCATTTTATATGACTCCCATAATCTATTGAATATAGAACAAAGGTGTAAGGATGATCCAGGCCCAGCAGATGGAAAAAAAGTTTTAAGGGACAGCTGGTGATCATGATCATGACTCATCAGATGAAGACTCTACAGCTGCAGTAGCAACACTGGTAAAATAAAAGTATACAAAGACACCCTGTTCTGAACAACCCCCCCCCCCCCTCCCCCAATTTCATTTTCAGAACAAAATGGCCTTGTTGGCATCTATTCTGATTATCTTTATTTTCCCTCCTTCTTCTGTTTCCAGAAGAAGCCAAAGACTCTCTGGCCTTGGGGAGCTGAAGAGGACATGGAAATTAAAATAAGACAAGAGAACACTTTTAGCACCACAGAGAAGATTCAGGAAGAGATAAAGGTACAGAAGTCTGCCATCAACCCTAACCTCAGTGAATCCAGTGACCTGGTGGTGGAACGTGAGGGACAATATGCCAATGCTACCAAACTTGGCAACCAGGTATCTGTGTGTGCAACAAGCATCATTCACACTCTCAAGAGTGAACATGTTCTACTGCTGGAGACACCATCAGCCAGGAGCAGGCTTGTTTGTGTTCAGAGAAAGAAGACGGTGATTTTTCAGAAGAAAATCTGTTAAGTGAAAAGGTCCTCAGTGTGTAGCAGTGAGCATTAGACACTGACGTGTCACTGGTTTGCAACTGTTCTTTTGCACTGGAAATTATTTGTTTATTTTTTAATGCAAGAAAATTGCTTGGAATGGAAAAATATCAAAGTTAAAAAATAAAACTCACTATTTGTACTGTAATGTGTAACATAATTTCCTTCTTGTTAGAACTGATGTTCATTATAAAATTGGTACCGAAAAATTACCGTTCAGGAATTGACACCGAAGTGAAAGTACCGATACAGATTTATTTTAGAAAGGTACCCAACCCTATAAGCAGGTATAGCCCATTCTATTATTATCACTGACATGATTAGGACAGGGCATTTTAAGTTGTAGATGTTTATTGACTAAAACCTAGAACTCAAGACAGAAGACTATTTAAAATGCAGCTCTAAGCAAATCAGGTATTTGGCTCCTAAAATGATATGAAAATTTTATGTTTGTCTAAAACTCAAGTAATGCTGACTATGAAACAAAGCACAGATTGATCTTGTGCAGGATTACCAGGAGTTTGTGGATATGAAAGTGAAGCTGCACAGTGAAATGACCGATGATTGCGTCACAGCAAAAGTTGCAGGTTCAAGTCCCTGCTGGGATCCTTTTTGCGTGGAGATCACATGTAAGTGTTCTCTGGGTTATACAGTTTCCTCTCACAGTCTAAAAACATGAATGATCCATTAACGTGAAAGTAACTGGTTGTCGGACTTGTGTGCCTCAATGGCTGTTTTTGAACCAAAAGGGTTCCAGAGCTAACTGGAGAGTTTCCATAACTTTAACTTGGGCACCAAATAACCAGTGCTAACTAAACAGCAACTCTTTTGAGGATCAGTGCTTAAAAACAACAACAACAACAACAACAAAACTGTCTCTGTGATCCTTTACAGAAACTCGAGTAAAAACAACAAAGAGAGCATCAATTATTATCTGGATAATACTTTCTGGCTTTGAAAAAACAGACAGGTACTAAACTGAAAAAAAAAAAAAAAAAAACTCTTTTTTTTTTTTTTTTCAAAAACAAGTGAAGAACAGATTACCAGTATTCATCTATTTTTCTTTCACCTGCTACCTTCTTCAGGGGGTCGCCACAGCAAGCAAACTTGCATGAGAATTTGACAAATGTTTTACACCGGATGCCATTCCTGATTCAACCAGACCACCGAGCTACCACAGCCCTCTGTGTGGAGCAGAGGATTGCTATCTAGGGTGCCTGAGGGAGGGTGAAGGAGGTTAAGAGCCTTGCTTAAGGGTTGAGATTGGGGCTGCGCCACCACTCCCCAGGAAAAAAAATCATATTAAATTATATTTTAAAAACTATCTAGATGAATCTCTAGTAAAATACATAAGTTTTACCTTTTATCAGAGACTGTAAAGAATCCAGAGCTTTGTGTACATTCGGGTTACTCAGTGTTGCCACTGCTGTGTCCGAACTCAAAACTGCTGGAAACACCTCGTTGCTTTTCCTTTGCCCTTGTGTCTGCACCATCATCCTGCCGGTATCTGATGTTCCACTCAGACTATTCAGAATATTCTTGATTTTCTCACACTCCTCCTCATCCAGACTGGAAGGGGCAAACGCAGATATTGCCATTTGATGGGGCTGTTTTGTATCAGCCAGATGTGTGGCATATTCTCCAAGTAGGGGAGATGTTTCGGTTCCATACAGGAATGACTCTTCATCTTCAAACTCCCTGGCTTTCTGTATAGAAATTTCCTCCTGACTTGTCTCATGAAGCCAAGAGAAATCACTGATCACTCTTTCATGTGGGAGCAGCATGCTATCATTTTCAAGTGATGGTGAAGTGGTAAGACTCTCATGTTGCCGACTCACGTGCTCTTCAAGTACATTTTCCACGTTCTTTATTTCATTTGAGACCTGTGGAAAAGAAAAACCATTACATACATACATGAACTATGAGGTTCTTTCACATGGTTATGCTACTTGGCTACTGATTGGGTGTTAAGAAAATGCATGCATCAGTTAAGACATGTTCAAGCTGCAGCAAGTTCTGTTTTAAATGTGGAACGCGCAACCTCTGTGCATTGCAACTGTATTTCTAGTACTAATACATGGTATTCAAGAATTAAGAAATTACTTCTGTTGGGAGCCTGTGACTTGTTCTGTGAAGTCACTGCTAGAAACAAATAAATGCAGTTTCTGGTGACAAAAAACATGGATGAAAAATCTGTTTCAGAAAAGATGAAGTTGCAATGACACCTTTTGACTAACGGACTTGTGGTGCATTTGTATGGTCTTATGTTGTGTACAAGGTGTGATCTTATCACTTTCAACGCTCACGGACGATAATGTTTTTGTCCTTGCCTGTGTGTTTGTGTTTCTGTTATCAAAATATTCCATGAACCACTGGAAAAAACTTTATTAAACATGCAGAAAGTAATTATAAGTTGTACGTAAGTAATATGACCTAAGTATAAGTTGTTGAGGGCGGCTGTGGCTGAATGGTTAGAGCAGTCGTCCTCCAATGCGAGAGTTGGGGGTTCGAATCCACCAGCAGTCACATGCCGAAGTGTCCCTGGGCAAGACCCTGAACCCCTCGTAGCCTCTGATGTGTGTCCCATCAGTGTATGAATGTGATCTAAAGCACTGATTAGTCTCTTTAGAATGATTTCTTCAATTAGCTTTGTATCGATCTAGTAGAGTGCTGTATGAATGGGTAAATGAGGCAGATTGTAGTGTAAAGTGCTTTGAGTATCTTGAAATAAGATAGAAAGGTGCTATATAAGTACAGTCCATTTACCATTTACATCTACAATCGATTCACCTTTAGAGTCAACCTGATACAAGATGACTGCCACAACTAACTGACCTTAGAAAACAATAAATGGCTATAATTCAGTCAGTTTTACAGGTGTGCTAAACATGGGCATGTTTTTTTGTTTAATCAAATATAAAACATACACCAGTGGTGCTTGAAAGTTTGCAAACCCTTTAGAATGTTCTATATTTATGTAGAAATATGGCCTAATTTTTTTATTTTTGTTCTTTTTCTTTCGGCTGCTCCCTTCTTCAGGGGTCACCACAGTGAACTAACTCACATGAAGACTTGGCAAGTGTTTTTAGACCAGATGCCTTTCTTCACGCAACCACAAATCACTGAGCTACCACAGCCCTCTCTGTGGAACAGAGAGCTGACATCTAGGGCACCTGGGGGAGCATATAGTGGGGGTTGGGCCTTGCTCAGGGGCCCAGAGTGGGGCAAATGAGGGATGAGGCAGGTGTGGGTGTTTCACCTTTTCTACTAACATTTTGATGTTGTCGGTCTGGAGAGTTGAATCAGCGACCTTCCGATCACAGGCCCACCTTCTCTAGCCTCTGCACCACCACTCCCCCTATAAATATGACCTAAAACATCATCCGATTTTCACACAATTCCTAAAAGTAGATCAAGAAAACACAGTTAAACAAATGAGACAAAAATATTCTTGTTCATTTATTTATTGAGGAAAATGATCCAATATTACATATCTGTGAGAGGTAAAAGTATGTGAACCTATAGGATCAGCTGTTAATTTGAAGGTGAAATTAAAATCAGGTGTTTTCAATCAATGGATGATGATCAGGTGTGAGTGGATATCCTGTTCACATATATGTAACCAACACAAATATGTAAAACTGGATCATTTCCGTCAATAAATAAATGACCAAGTATAATATTTTTGTTTCATTTGTTTAACTGGGTTCTTTATCAAATTTTAGGACTTAATGTGAAAATCTGATATTTCAGGTCATATTTATGCAGAAATATAGAAAATTCTAAACAAGGGTTCACAAACTTTCAAGCACCACTGTCCAATATGCTATGTATTGTGAAAGTTTTTTTGCTTTAAACTTTAACAGTACCTGTTGGACATAAACCCTGATTGTCTGTTACCTAAAGTATCTCATGAACAATTTAATGACTTATAGGGTGCATTCACACCTGATAGTCCGGTAGACTTGGTTCGGTTGGGGACCAATATTCATGACATTTTGTTTACATTTGAGCTGGTGCATTTGCATTCACACTGCACTGTGCAGTCGAGCCAACCTGTTGAACCAACCTATTCCCCCGCTCGCCTGTGGGGGCGCTGCACCAAGAACTACTGAAAGAAACGACACAAAAACCTCTGAAGACACTTCTTCTTCTTCTGGAAATAAAAACAAAAATGGAGTGGCATCAAGTTTTAGGAGTTATATTTTGTCATTTTTCAACAATGGACTCAGCATGAGCAGAAGATGAGGCAGAAGACCATGGAGAATATTGTTTTTCACACAAGGCAGGTGACAGCTCAATATGAGGTAAGAGAAATGTGCGTTTGTTTGTCCTGCGCTGTACTCCACTTCTTGCTTATGGAGCGGGGCCCGGTCTGTTTACATCCACACTGTACTCGAACCGCGCTGGAGTTCTCTTCTACCAGACCGAGACCTAGGTTTTAGCCCGGGCCAGAGTTTGCCTTTTTGTTCCGTGACAGAGTTCGATGGCAGGTTCACACCTCCCCAAACGAACCGGACTTTCTAGGAAAACGAGCTAGAGTTCTATTAAAGCGGACTAAACAGGGCTGGTGTGAATGCACCCTTAATGAAACGGTCAAAAATTAATTATTTGATGTACATCCTAATTGTGAACAAATTTTAGAAATCATTTCAATTCTATATGGTCTAAATCACACGTGTCAAACTCAAGGCCCGGGGGCCAAATGTGGCCCTCGCTGACATCTTCTCTGGCCCCCAAGATGATATGTGAAACGTAAAATACTTTTATCCTTTGAATTTTTTTCAGTAATCTTTGATTATGCTGTTGAAAGCACAACAGAGAAGATCAAATGAGACCAATCAAACTCTTGTTGAGGAACCTGTGACCAAGAATATATGTTTTGTATCTGATTTGAGTTCATGTCGTTTCTGAAATTGGCCCTTAGTTTGACTAAAGGTTTTAATTTTGGCCCCCTTTTGTAAGTGAGTTTGACACCCCTGGTCTAAATGATATTAACAAGCATAAAAATGGTTATAGCCCATTCATTTATACCGAGATTTAGCTAAAGTTTTTTGTAGTGATTGAGGATCATCCACAACATGTAATCTAGTGTGATACATTGCAGTATTGCATGAGACCACACACAGCCAAAAATGGCTAAAACTCGTCATTTCCCAAATACAATGATCCTTGCCTATATCTTCTAGCATAAAAGGCAGCAAAGGATTAGCATTCCTTCAAAAATACATTAAATTAATGTTGTATATTGTCTATTTTGATTTGTATGTGTGGGGTTTCTCTGGCTACTCCTGTTTCCACCCACAGACCAAAATAATAATAATAATAATAATAGTGTCATCACATAGGCTAATTGGTAACTCTAAATTGTCCCTAGATGTGAGTGAGTGTGAGAATGGTTTTCGTTTTGATCTATGGGTATGTGGCCCTGGGATGGACTTGCAGCCTGTCCAGTGTGTGTCCTACTTCTCTCACATTGGCTGGACATATGCACCAGCAACCCCTATGACACCAAGAGGAAAAAGCAGATAAAAGATAATAGATGGATGAAGAACTATGATCCAGAGGGAACACTGCCACATATGGTGAAAAGTAGGGCTGCAACTAACGATTATTTCAATAATCGATTCATCGGCCGATTATTTTTTCGATTAATCAATGAATCGGAAAAAAAAACAAAAAAAAAAAACGTTTTTATTTCCACACCTTTATTCCAAAATTGAACATTTGACTGACATAGCAATTCACACAAAAAACATGTTGCTATTTGACTATTCTGTTAGTAAAATATTGAATAATAAAAAATAAAAGTTAGTCAAATAGCTTAAAAAAATAAATGTACACAAAAATATATACAAATGTATCTTTATACCTGCACAATATGTAGCTACTTTGTAAAATGTGTCCTTGAGGGAAGAGTGTAACCTGGATTAAAAGTGTGGATTATTGTAACCTGGATTAAAAGTGTGGATTATTGTAGTGAAGCCTTCGTCTTCAACCATCGACAGAGGCCTCATGTCAGTGACGATCATGTTCAGGATGTTTCAGTAAAGGCAGCTGCTGTTGTGGTGTCCATGATGTCTGTCCATCAGGAAGTGTTGTTTGTTGTTGTTTTCTGGAATGAGACAATAAAAATGTATTATAGCATAATTTACAGCAACTCAAGAAATGCCTTGTTTCACTTACAATGTTAGGTTCAGCCAAAAGTAGCTAAAAGAGCAATTAAACACACACACATATATATAAAATACTTAATTACACACATTTGAGTAGATGTAATAAATTACTTTAATTCCTGTTTAAATGCAATTCATCCTGCCATACCTGCAGTGTCTTTAGACTTTGCCAGCAAATTAAAAGTTGAAGCTTAATCATTAAATTATTATCTTTGCGTTAGATTTATTTATAAATCACATTTAAACACTGCTTGTACCAATTAAATTAAATAAAAAGTAACACACACGTTCTCTATCACCGTCATTAATCAGCAAACAAACAAACAAGCAGCAGCTTCATCTACCAGAGAGACTGACGTTACATTTTCTCTCTTGGAAACAGAACAATGTGTTAAATTGTAGAGACTCACCTGCAACACGAGTTGGGAGTGAGACATGTTGTATCAGCTGCAGCTCGTGACTCCGACATGTTTACGTTTATCTCCGTGGTTCTCTCGTGTCGTGTCGGTATTTTCAAAGCTGCATGTTTCTCATCTTTTATCTTTGTGAAGTTCTCCCACACTTTGGAGGACTTGGGTTGAACAGTTTTCGCTGCGTTGATCATTTGTAAAATTGACTTAATTTCCTTTGAAAACACCACCTCTGCTCCGCCTCCCCCCTCGCTCTGTTCAACTCGCGCTGCAGTTTTTTTTCTTCTCCAAACTTTATTCAGTCAGTCAGCATTGACAATGAACTGCCCGTGAACAAAACGAAATGGCTCCGCAGCGCCGTGAAAGACGCATAATTGCGCGACACAACGAAACGATAACGAAATTCGTTGCCAACGCTTTTAATCATCGATTTTTATCGATTCGTTGTTGCAGCCCTAGTGAAAAGTAACAAGAAAAGCCTTCTTGATTCATGTGCACACCTTGACATGAGTTTGGAGGAAGAATAAGACAAAACACCTGATCAAAACTACTATTTAACTAACTAACTAAATAAATAAAATGAGGAAAAAATGAAGATCTCTACCTGAATACTTAGGAAGGCATCTTTGAGAGTGGGCAACCGGTCTTCTAAATCTTTGCTCTGCATGACAAGTTTCAGTTCTTCTAACAGACAATTTTCTGTCAAATTACTGCTGATGCCAACAATGCTGTTGCTGCTGGGGCCGGGGCTCCTCCTTCTCTTTTTGTCGTTGGCATAGCTCTCTTCACTGCTGCTGCTTTGTGATCTAGACCTTCTGACTTTGCTTTTACTTCGTTTGTGACTCTTCTTGCTTCGGCTCCGACTCCTACTGCGAGCCCTGGTTTTGCTTTTGGCTCGACTCTTGCTACAAGCACGACTTTTGCTCCTTCCTCTGCTTCGGCTCCGTGCCCGGCTCTTGCTCCGTGCCCGGCTCTTGCTCCGTGCCCGGCTCTTGCTTCGTGCCCGGCTTTTGCTCCGTGCACGGCTCTTGGCTCGAGATCTACCACGACTTCGACTTCGACTATGGCTCTTGCTTTTGGCCACATGCTTGTGGAAGTGAGGATCTGACTTGAGTGCTTCTTTCAGGTCATTAGCAGACTTTAAGGCATCAGCTAGGTTGTATGCCATATTGCCTTTGAGATAGTCTGGGAGAGGTTTGTTGGCCGCAATGCATCTCAGGAATTCCTCACCAGCTCGGTCACTAGAAATCAATAGGCATATATTTCAAATAATAAAAAATGACAAATACTCCAGACAATGCTTGCATTATTCACCACATCCACATTCACATATACCTGTTGTCTGACTGGTGATGTTCCACTGATGGGGTATTCCACTGTGGGACCTGACGGTGGGGTGTTTCTGCAGGAGGGACAATTGGTTGGCTGCCTCCCGTTGCAATCACTGTACTAGGGTCTACGAAGTTGCTACAGTGGGGCTGAGAGTATTCAGAGTTCATGTTATAGTGCTGTACAAGAAAGAACTGCAAAAATCAACAGCAAAAGTGAAGCTGCAAAAGGTAAGAAGTTATTGTAAGAGAGCTCTGTATTTTATATACATGCTTTACCAAACAGAACTGTCAAGTCTGTTAGATAGAGTAAAAATGTCCAATAAGACCATTTTTTATACATTTAGTTTAAAATATTTACATTTGAACTAAAATCACATGTATTTGTTAAGTTAAAATTGGTCAAATTTAATTGCTTGAACAAAATTTTTTTTAATCTAATGAAGCCCCTCTAAAGTTATGTTTACTAGATTGAGAAACAGATTTAATATACAGGTCCTTCTCAAAAAATTAGCATATTGTGATAAAGGTAATTATTTTCCATAATGTAATGATACAAATGAAACTTTCATATATTTCAGATTCATTGCACACCAACTGAAATATTTCAGGTCTTTAATTGTTTTAATACTGATGATTATGGCATACAGCTCATGAAAACCCAAAATGCCTGTCCCAAAAAATTAGCATATTTCATCCCACCAATGAAACACAAGTGTTTTTAATACAAAAAACGCCAACCTTCAAATAATCATGTTCAGTTATGCACTCAATACTTGGTCGGGAATCCTTTTGCATGAATGACTGCTTCAATGCGGCATGGCATGGAGGCAATCAGCCTGTGGCACTGCTGAGGTGTTATGGAGGCCCAGGATGCTTCGATAGCAGCCTTAAGCTCATCCAGAGTGTTTGGTCTTGCGTCTCTCAACTTTCTCTTCACAATATCCCACAGGTTCTCTACAGGGTTCAGGTCAGGAGAGTTGGCAGGCCAATTGAGCACAGTAATACCATGGTCAGTAAACCATTTACCAGTGGTTTTGGACTGTGAGCAGGTGCCAGGTCGTGCTGAAAAATGAAATCTTCATCTCCGTAAAGCTTTTCAGCAGATGGAAGCATGAAGTGCTCCAAAATCTCCTGATAGCTAGCTGCATTGACCCTGCCCTTGATAAAACACAGTGGACCAACACCAGCAGCTGACATGGCACCCCAGACCATCACTGACTGTGGGTGCTTCACACTGGACTTCTGGCCTTTTGGCATTTCCTTTTCCCCAGTCTTCCTCCAGACTCTGGCACCTTGATTTCCGAATGACATGCAAAATTTGCTTTCATTCGAAAAAAGTACTTTGGACCACTGAGCAACAGTCCAGTGCTGCTTCTCTGTAGCCCAGGTCAGGCGCTTCTGACGCTGTTTCTGGTTCAAAAGTGGCTTGACCTGGGGAATGCGGCACCTGTAGCCCATTTTCTGCACACGCCTGTGCACGGTGGCTCTGGATGTTTCTACTCCAGACTCGGTCCACTGCTTCCGCAGGTCCCCCAAGGTCTGGAATCGGCCCTTCTCCACAATCCTCCTCAGGGTCCGGTCACCTCTTCTAGTTTTGCAGCGTTTTCTGCCACACTTTTCCATTCCCACAGACTTCCCACTGAGGTGCCTTGATACAGCACTCTGGGAACAGCCTATTCGTTCAGCAATTTCTTTCTGTGTCTTACCCTTTTGCTTGAGGGTGTCAATGATGGCCTTCTGGACAGCAGGCAGGTCGGCAGTCTTACCCATGATTGCTGTTTTGAGTAATGAACAAGGCTGGGAGTTTTTAAAAGCCTCAGGAATCTTTTGCAGGTGTTTATCCACCTTATTCCGGATTTGGCGCCACTACCCATAATTCATAGCGGAAGCCGGTTGTTTACTTCCGCCCGCGATCCCGCGCTGTTGTTTACGTTTGTGGGTTAACACACTTGCTAGCAATTTAATGTTTTTGACACAAAAGTTTCCTTTACCTGAAGTAAATGGCAGCACATCAGAGGTGGATACATTGCAAGGATGTTTTAAAAAGCTGCGAAGATAAGTCGTTAACTGTGTCTCACCCATCATTTCTCACGGACTGGGTAGATGATATGAAATCATGGCCCGGAATTACCTACATCGATATTATTAATTACCTTGTTTTTTCTGAAGGCGTCGATGGCGAGGAATTGCGGAATTATAAAAGCACAGAGGCGTATAATTACCTCCACAGCAACAAAATAGATACAGTTTTGCTCAAGAAACAAGGCGACTTTATCTTTCTGAAAGCAGCTGTTGAGCCGAGCCAGAGCGTTGGTCAAGCTAAACACTTAGCATGGGTCATGCTCAGAGAAAGTGGAGTGGTAGAAACGGTCGGCTGTTCCTGTATCGCCGGATTGGGAAAATCATGCAGTCATGCGGCAGCTATTCTGTGGAAGGTATATCACTTATCTGGATATCAGAATATTTACATCACTGAATCAGAATCACTGAACTGGGCGAAAGCTGTGAGCTTCCTGTCTGCCTGTGTTTACATGTGGAAGCCAGAGCATTGTGCAGCCTGTGATCTACTGTCACAAAAAATTAAACATTAAAAAGGCTGTACAGTATTTTTATATTATTTGTTTTTAAAAAAGTACAGACTGGATGCAAGGCAACCTAACATTTACAGAAAAGGAAAAAATAAATGACAACAGCAGGGATGTAAATAACTTGTTTCATTTTATTAGGAGCAGTGATAGCTGAAGTCTGTTAAATTGTTACAGGTCCAGAATGCTGTGATCAGTGGAAAGACGGGGCTAGCATGTACAGATGAGCAGCGCAGGTGGAATGCTGGGACAGCAAAGAATCTTCAACCCAAACGTCTAAGCATGATAAACTTCAGACACCACAAGGCAGAGCTGACACAAGAGTGTTAAATGTTTCTAACGCTATACCAGTGTACAGCAAAGCGTCTGCGTCATTTTGTAGAAGAAAAAATGCAACTGCATCACACTGAGTCGTCTTGTCCTGGACATCTTTTCTGCCAGACGTGTTGCAGTATTGATGATGATCTTTTAGCGAAGGGTCCTCCCACTGTGTGTGGACTGAGTGCAGATGTGGCCCAGGAGGTTGTGTGGAGACGCTAGCCAGGTCTGGGATGACTGACGGTGAATCTACGGTGCACTCTGAATAACACAAAAATACAAAATCAAATCAGCGTAACACAACCTGTCAAGTGTCACTTACCTTATTACGTTTTAGGAAGGAAATTTGTAATTCCACACTCGTACACACATGATACATCTTAAATGTCAATAGTGCTGTTTTAGTGGGGCTTTAGCCCCCTTAAATTTTCCTAAGCCCCATCAAATTATGCTATAATATCAAAATATTGTGATTAGATTTTAGTTTTTCATCCTTAAAAAAATCAGTTGGAGCTAGGTTGCATTTAAGCTTTTTCTTTAAAGAGTTTAAAAGAAGTTTTTTTTTCAGCTGTGTCTGTTTCAAATAACCTGCCTCTAATAACTCAACATATTCTTTATTAACAAAATCCCCAGACTTTTACAGCCCTGGGGGCTGAATTTTACCAGGTTGCTAAATAAAAAGCTATTCTCGGACAGTTACATGAAATCATATACATCTCTGCTAGCATGCTACTGATGTTAATTACTAACCACTTTGTCTTTAAGATTTGGATTTGGCTGCCAATCAAGTACTTTCTCTTAGTGATAAAGTATTTTGGAATTAAATTAATAATACACTAACATCCACAATAACACTGCAACCAGCTAGCGCTGATGCTAACACCATCCACAGTATAGTAATTATAACATTACAATTATAACATTAATAATAATATAATTCAGTAAAAGATAAGAGCTAAGCATGATTAAAATGTGAAGCGGGGACAAATCACATTTTCAATTTCACTCACCGGGAACAGATTCGGCCGTTTTGTCGATGTTGCTGGAAGCTGTCTGGCTCACAGTGGTCCGGATGAGCTGCCTTCTTTTCTTTGGTGGGGCCCGGTCATAGCCCAGATAGAGCTCCGGGTCGGGGTGAAGCTCTGTGGGCTTTTTATCAATAAAATGAAAGGAGCAAACATAAACTCTCTTCGGGGGGTATTTGAGTTTTAAAGCTGCCAGCCACGCTCGTTTTCGATCCTCCTTCCTCGGCATGGAGTGCAGTTCGTAACGCGCTGGGCACACACAGGCCTTTCGAAGTTGTTGATGTGCAAAACAATACGTTTCTAGCTCGTCTTTCAGTTTTCTGGAGCTGTTGTGACAGCCAACAACAGCACAAGTTGAACCAGAACTCATATTAGAATTGTTTAAGCCTCCTGCTACAGCACAAATTACTAGAATTTGTCATTAGCAAAAGTGCCTGTCATTAGCAAAAGTGCCTCTCGCTTTAGCTCACCGGAAGTATAAAACCGGGAGGGGGCGGTACCTGTCTGTCATGGCAGCCCACATACGCTCTTGCAGAATAAGGTGGATAGAGTTACGTCGTTGATTCAGATAGTTAGGTTAATAGCTTGTTTAGAGAACCTTTTCATGATATGCTAATTTTTTGGGACAGGCATTTTGGGTTTTCATGAGCTGTATGCCATAATCATCAGTATTAAAACAATTAAAGACCTGAAATATTTCAGTTGGTGTGCAATGAATCTGAAATATATGAAAGTTTCATTTTTATCATTACATTATGGAAAATAATGACCTTTATCACAATATGCTAATTTTTTGAGAAGGACAGGACAGTATGTTTTTACTGGAGGGGACCTGATAAACCACCATTAAAGCTGAGCAGTCTACATTGTGTGCTTCCTAGTGCTGTGGAGTTACCCAGATTAAAATAAATACATTCATGGTTGGTCATTAGGAGTAAATAAAAGGCCAAATTCTGAAACCATTCTCGGTTATACTCGTGTCAGCAGGTTTAGGGATACTATACTGTAAAGGTTGTAAGCATCAATTTCTCTTATAAATTATTTTCTAATCAAGTTTTCTCCATATACATTGCTTATATTTGTTGTATTATTTTACATGTACATTGGTGCTTGAAAGTTTGTTAGCCCTTTAGAATTTTCTATATTATATGAATTATGTGCAATTGCGTCAGAGAGCTGGAGCAGCTGTTATCAGGACTGTGAACTCTCTAGCAAGACA